TTTAAACCCAGTCTCTGATCAAAAGGGTTTGGGTTTAGGGTTTAGGGTTGAGGGTTTAGGGTTTAGGGTTTAGGGTTTAGGGTTTAGGGTTTAGGGTTTAGGGTTTAGGTTTAGGTTTAGGGTTTAGGGGAAGCCCTATAAGTCTCAAACCCCTGGAACTCAACACCTCACATTTTGGACACCCTGGTGGCCTAAATCCCGAAACCCCGAGTGCCGAGCCACGAACGAGGCCCTGAGGCCTAGAACTAAGTCCTAGATCCATCGAACAGGCGCCCCAAAAAGGCAGGTGCCAGCTTTGTGGGTGGATAAGCTGGGGGCTTCTTGGAATTAATGCCCTCAGGCAGGGCTGGAAGCAGCGCCTCTTCAGGGGCTTTGATATATGACTTCGGGGCTTCCTAAACCCTAAACCCTAAACCCTAAACCCTAAACCCTAAACCCTAAACCCTAAACCCTAAACCGTCAAGAAGGCTTTTGTTAGGAGTCCTGAAAACCAGCGTCCGATTTCTTAGGGTTCCATTTTGGGTTTAGGGTTATAAAGTTTAGGGTTTAGAAGTTTAGGGTTTAAACAATTTACGGTTTCGGGTTTATAAAGTTTAGGGTTTAGGGTTTTTCAAGTTGAGGGCTTGCGGTTATAAAGTTTAGGGCAAGTTTAGGGTTTAGGGTTTGTACAATTTAGGGCTTTGGGTTTATAATGTTCAGGGTTTAGGGTCTGTTAAGTTTAGGGTTTAGGGTTTATCAAGTTGAGGGTTTGCGGCTTATTATAAAGTTTGGGGTGTAGGGTTTATAAAGTTTAGGGTTTAGGGTTTAAAAGGTTTAGGGGTTATAAAGTTTAGGGTTTAGGGTTTATCAAGTTGAGGGTTTACGGTTTATGAAGTCGTTGAGGGTTTAGGGCTTGCAAAGTTTAGGGCTGAGGGTTTATAATGTTTAGGGTTTAGGGTTCCATGTTGGGGCCGCTGATTTTCTGAAACGCCCATGAAAGGCTTAAAATTTTTACAGAAGGCCCCCGGGACTTCGTGCTTCAGAGCCTCACGGTTCCCTGATAGCTCTAAAGTAGCAGATCTACCAATGCCCTTGTCTTGTGGTTGAGGTTTTTAGGCCCTTGACCTTCAAGTTTGGTTCAGGGGCCCGCAGCTCTGAAATGGTGGTGGTTTTGGTTAACATCTCCTCCACCCGAGCCCAGTGAAGGACTGTCCTGAGATTTTTCTTATTTCAATAAACTGGTGGTGGTCTGTGTTCCTCTTTAATGGGCTGAAAATCTTGAGCGATGAAAGTCTGAAGAATCTTCAATTTTGTAAGGGCTTGAGGTAGAGTCCCCTTGTCGAGGAACTCCTTCGAGAGTTCAGGGTTTGGGGCTGGGATGGAATGAGGGTCTAGGTTTCTTGTGGCCATCGTTCGACAGACTGGCGCTGTCTTAGCGCCAGATTTTGGTGTGCAGCTGTCTGTCCACCAAGGACCGCGACGGTGGCCTAGGCCGTAGGCAGGCCGCTGAGTGGTCGGAAGAGTTGACTCCCCGACGCAAAGGGGAAAGGTCTAGGGCCTAGGGCCAGAATATTCATATTGGGGCTTCAGAGATACTCTGATTCCTGTTTAGGTATGGAGGAATGACTGCTGATCATAGAACTTTCTTGTTATGCACTTCTGCCATTCAGCTTGGGGCAGCAGACTGCCGGGTTCCTTTGGGACATGGCCGAAGAGAAGTTCCAACATTGCCGATAGTGATGATGTAGGAATCGCTAAGCATGGCAAGCCGGAGGGCATGATGAGATAAAGAATCGGCCCCGTAGGCCCTAGATCGATTCATTTTCCGGAAGGGGCCGGCTGTTTTCCTCCTCGTTGCTGGCCTCTCACGTCACCATTCCGGGCATTCCTTCTGGTGGGCGGGAGTCTTCGAGTTAGAGTTTTAGGTTGAAGGCCCATTGTGGACTAATGATAATAATAATAATTATAATAATAATAATAAGAATAATAATAATGATAATAATGATAATAATGATAATAATGATAATAATGATAATAATGATAATAATAATAATAATAACAATAATAGTTGGCTAATGCAGCAGACCCGGTCACGATCGCAGAACCCGGATCTTAGTAGTCACTAGACATGGCCAGACTTACCGCATCCCGTTCATTTGACATGTCGTAGGCCTGGCAGTACCTAGACACTTCCATACACCTTCGTATCGCTTCCTTTGCTACTACTAAGCTAAGGTTTCGGGTTCGGGGATTTGGGGGTCTCTCGGTGGAGGTTGGAGGACTTTTCCTGCTCAGGGTTAGCCCCAGAGCATACCATTTTCGGCTGGATCTGCCCTTGCTGCATGAAAAGGAGGCACGCGATCTTCAGTGAGCCGTTAAATTAGGGATACTCCTAGAATTGCGAGGTACCTGTACGTATTTAGATTGTAGTTCGTGTCTGCGGCTGTAAGGGAGGACTCCCCAACACCCCACACCACCCAAGATGTTTGAAATCTCCACACCAAAATTGCCAGAAGACTCAGAAGCGCGGTCCGTCGTGTCGAACACATCGGGAGTGTTTAGTGTTGGCTTTCATGTTCGACAAAAATTTCGTAATATTTCGGATATTCAGATCCTTTAACCTGGGACCCCTTAACCCGACAAACTTCTGCGCACGTCGGCTCAAGCTCATGATGAAAGCTTTAGCTCCAGGGTCCATCCATAGGGTAGGAATTAGAGCGGCCAGTGAGCGACTCATGAGGCTTAGGGTTTAGGGTTTCGGGTTTAGGGTTTAGGGTACAGGGTACAGGGTACAGGTTTGGACGTTAGAGGGAGTAGCGTCTGCCCGGCGGAGCCAACTTCCTACCCAGACTATACCTGAGTATAGCGTGCAGAGACTCTTCGATCTGAGTGCATTTTGCCCACCCTCCATTCACAACCAGAACCATGCTCTTCGTGGCCACAAGCCGCCCCAGAACCCTAGACTTAGACTCTGGAGTCAACCTTAACACCGACACCATTTAGGCAAGGTCGCGGAGCTATCTTTTGCCAAGCGCCCGCTGCGCCGCGCTGAAGCCATGGCAGCGACTGGATGGCATTGGATCAAAGAGAAGAAGTGATTCAGTCCCGGGGTTTCTTGGGTGGTAGGATACTGGCTTAGGGGTTTAGGGTTTAGGGTTTAGGGTTTAGGGTTTAGGGTTTATAGGGTTTAGGGTTTAGGGTTTAGGGTTTAGTTACGGCTTCAAGGCTGGCAAAGCTTAGGCACATCAGCCCTTTGGGCCTTTATAATAGTGCCGCAACATTTTGAGCTCAGAGTTTTCAAGAGTTGCGAAGGCCCTTCCTGACTCACGGCTCGATGCTTTAAGGGGATCTCTGGTTCAGCGGAGTAGGCTGGATGTATACTATGCATGAGCTCAGAACCTAGAGGCCCAGCAAGCCCGAAGCCTCCTTAGCTACTGAACAGAGGGAACCTAGGCAGCCAAGATCCCCACCTCCTCAATTCAGAAGTATACTTTCAAGTATTAGCAGTTCTTCTGAACACGATGTTCAAAGGCTACCCTTTCATTGAGGCATGCTCGTTTCCCTCATGCCTAACACCCCGCAAAGCATGAGCGCAAAGATCCCTATGCTGGGTGGCAAGCCACCCTTTCCCAACGCCAACTTCAGCGCCCTGGCGCAGCGCGATGGCGCGGACGACACTTGCAGGGCATGGCCGCATTTTTGCTGAGTTGTGGAGGGTTCTTTGGGCCGAATCCGGGTTTAGGACTTGACACGATTCGGTTTCTTGTCCCTAAACCCTAAACCCTAAACCCTAAACCCTAAACCCTAATTAGCTGGCTCGACTTCTCAGGGCCTGACGATCGGCCGTCCTACGGTCTAGAGCTAATATGGGAGTTTCCGAAAATTAGGGGTACCATATTTTGGGGCCTTTATAATAAGGATCCTATTATTTAGGGTACTATATTAGGGTCCCCTATTTTCGGAAACCCCCATATGGGCTACTTGAGCCGGGATGAGGGTTTGCTTGGTGTTCGTGGCATTTGGTGTCTACGCGACTGCCCGACTCTCCAACATACGAACTCCGAACCCTGAGCCCGAACCTCGGAACCGCCGCAATCTGTCAAGTCAAGGAAGAGTGGTCCTACTCTGATGAGCGACTTGCCTGCTCAAGAGCCTTGGGAATTACAGGGTTGCCAAAGTTGTTTACCGGCTATGAGGCTGCAAGTTGAAAGGTTGCAAGGCGAAGGGTTGAATCAAGAAGGTCTAGTCTAGGGTCATTAGAGACCAAACATGGCTACACCGAGCCCGATTCCCAAAGCTTAGCTCTTTGCATCCTAACACGGCTCTCGAGAAACGTCCAGCCCTTTAAGCCTCAAGCCCTGAAGCCTTCGCCTTCAATGAACATCTTGTGCTCTGAAAACATCGAGAAGCTGAAACTTGCCATCGTTCGTGTGCAGGTACGAACCTCGATCCTTGGCCAAGAAGCCGACGGGTGTCTCTCGTATACTAACAATTCCGATTTCTGGGCTTTCCTTACATCTGACCGTGTATGTAAAGTTTCCGTAGCCGTCAAAAAGAGGTTTGGGGTGCTTACAGAGGAGTTCCGAAAGAGGCATCTGCATTCGTGCTGGAATTCCCTGCGGTGGCTCCTTGGTGCGAGTGTACTGAGCTTTCCGGTACGTGCTGTACATTTGCGAGTGCACGGACTTGCGAGTTTCAGAAACTCAGGGACCCTTATGCAAAATCAGGGGCCCTTCTGCAAAGCTCAAAATTAACAGTAGGAGCCTAAAAGCCCTAAATAGTAGGAGCCTTTTTTATGCAATACAGGCCCATCTGAAGGAGCCCCTGGGTTCAAGAAACCTCCATGGCCTAAACCCTAAACCCTAAACCCTAAACCCTAAACCCTAAACCCTAAACCCTAAACCCTAGAGTCCTAGAGCCCCGAAGGATCCCGCAGCCGATTCAGCTCCTGGCAGCTGCTGGGACTCTGCCTTTGCTGCCTTGCCATCGTCGGTCTGCCAATCCTTGCGTGCCTGGGCCTGGTTTAGGGTTTAGGGTTTAGGGCCTGTCGGGACTTACCTTTGGTTAGTAGGGAATGGAGGAATGGGTACAATTATAACTACTATTACTACCATTCTTCCATTCCCTACTAACCAAAGGTAAGTGGAGCAGTCTTTCCTCGCCGGAAAGGTACGTATCGTAGGGGCCTGAATAATTACTCATACTATTCTGGGGGCTCTTGATTATGTATAATTATAGTATCCTGGCCCCAAAACCCGATTCTTTTTTCTAAGGTCCTATATTTATAATAATTATCAAGGCCCCTATATTTGAGCACCCCGAACATCCTTCCGCAGCGACTGGGTCGCCTGTAGCCCGGCAGGACTTAACCTCAGGCCACGAAGCCAAATTCCTAAACCATGAATACACCCTCCCCTGCACCCTCTACGACCCTCAACCCACACTCTAGAGGTGTGTTTTCTTTACCCTCAGGCCTAAAAGCCGTCGTCCCGTGAGGAGTGCCATAAATCCCCGTAAAGAAGCTGAAAAATCCCCTAAAAGGCCCAGGGCCTCGTTCTTCCTGAACTCTAAAACCTAAAGCCTAAACCCTAAACCCTAAAGCCTAAACCCAGGGCCTCGCCCAGACATGTTCGAGAGTGAGTGCTGAAACCCAGGGCCTCGTTCTTCCTGAACTCCTGGGCGCAAGACGCCATGGAAGCCTCGGGCTTTCAGACCTTCGGAGCGCCTTGTAGGCGGTTTCGGGAGGTTTCGGGAGGGTTGAGGGTTTAGGGTTTAGGGGGCGGTTTCGGGAGGGTTTCGGGTTTATAAGGCTTAGGATCAGGGGTTTAGGGCTTTTGGGGTGATTGCACAAGTCCTGATGCAAAAAAGGGCTTCTAGGGTTCCGGATGGATTAGGGTTTAGGGTTCAATAGGATCAGGGGTTCAGGGTTTAGGGTTCAGGATTAATTAAGGTTTGGGGTTTAGTGTTTATAGGAGACTATATAAGGGTTCTTCGAAGGGCTCTATGAAGTTTCAATGAGGGTTTCAGCGTTTACGGAATCCGAAGCGTGACCCCAAATAAGCCTGGCAAGACCGCATTAAAGCGATGAGCCCCTTTACATTGACTTGTGCAAGCCCTGCGCAGTCCCGTACAAAAGCCGTGGGAGCGGCTCCCAAGGTCGCCACCACGGTGGCGTCGGTAGACATCTCCATGCTCAGCGGGCGATGGAGCTTCGGGGACCTGGAGGTGCAGAGTCCAGCTGGTTATGGTCCGGCACTCGGAATCCCACTTTGGGTATAGGGGCAGGTAGGGCATAGAGCTTGGGGACTACAGGGTTTAGGGTTTGGGCTTTCGGGAAAAGCCAAACCTTAAGAGGCACTTTTCAGGCTTCTGGCTTAGAGGATGTAGGGTTTAGGACGGCGGGTTTAAGGGCTGGGATTTGTGTGGATTTATTGCCTTCAATGGAAACCTTTAGTGTGATGGTGTTGTGGGATTTTGAAAAGTCTTTTGAC